AGGGGAACGTGAGAGGGCATGGTGCTAAGCTCCTCGTGCCTATTCACTCTGATCTAACTCACTCAAATATGCATGCTGAATGCTCAAGCCCCTTCCAATCAAAACTTCCTTCCCAACCTCCTCCAATCCCTTTTCAATCCACTATAAGTATCCAATCACTTCAACAGTCTCCCACTCTCTTCCCAGACAACATTCATTAACCAGGCAACCACCAACAGCCTGGTTGTTCAGATTACCGGACGGAGGATCAAGCCTCCACTTCTCTTTGAGCTGACTGATCCACATGGGTATAGTGGCTCATAAAACCCAACTGTCCCTAGATAATATTGGCCTCTAGAACCATCCTTCCTTCACCATTCTGCCCGCTATTGAAAAATGATCTGGTGATATTTGTAATCCCGTGAACGCTTTCTCTCGTTAATATGTCATCAGTCTGTCCTCGTTAATTACAACAGCCTGTTCTTGTAAATATCAGTCTGCACTTCTTAATCAGTCTGTCCTTGCTAATTAGATTGTCCTCGTTAATCAGACTGTACTTGTTGATATCAGCCTGTACTTGTTAATATCAGTCTGTACTTGTTAATATCAGTCTGTACTTGTTAATATCAGTCTGTACTTGTTAATATCAGTCTGTACTTGTTAATATCAGTCTGTACTTGTTAATATCAGTCTGTACTTATTAATATCAGTCTGTACTTGTTAATATCAGTCTGTACTTGTTAATATCAGTCTGTACTTGTTAATATCAATCGAACTTGTTATATCAGTCTGTACTTGTTTAAAATCAGTCTGTTCTTATTAATATCAGTCTGTACTTGTTAATATCAGTCTGTACTTATTAATATCAGTCTGTACTTGTTAATATCAGTCCGTAATTGTTAATATCAGTCTGTACTTGTTAATATTAGTCTGTACTTGTTAATATCAGTCTGTACTTGTTAATATCAGTCTGTACTTGTTAATATCAATCTGTACTTGTTAATATCAATCTGAACTTGTTAATATCAGTCTGTACTTGTTAATATCAATCTGAACTTATTAATATCAGTCAGTACTTGTTAATATCAGTCTGTACTTGTTAATATCAGTCTTTTACTTGTTAATATCAAATCTGTACTTGTTAATATCAGTCTGTACTTGTTAATATCAGTCTGTACTTGTTAATATCAGTCTGTACTTGTTAATGTTAGTCTGTACTTGTTAATATCAATCTGAACTTGTTAATATCAGTCTGTACTTGTTAATATCAGTCTGTACTTGTTAATATCAGTCTGTACTTGTTAATATCATCTGAACTTGTTAATATCAGTCTGTACTTGTTTTAAAATCAGTCTGTACTTGTTAATATCAGTCTGTACTTGTTAATATCAGTCTGTACTTGTTAATATCAGTCTGCACTTATTAATATCAGTCTGTACTTGTTAATATCAGTCCGTACTTCTTAATATCAGTCTGTACTTGTTAATGTTAGTCTGTACTTGTTAATATCAGTCTGTACTTGTTAATATCAGTTTGTACTTGTTAATATCAGTCTGCACTTGTTAATATCAGTCTGTACTTGTTAATATCAATCTGAACTTGTTAATATCAGTCTGTACTTGTTAATATCAGTCTGCACTTGTTAATATCAATCTGAACTTGTTAATATCAGTCTGTACTTGTTAATATCAATCTGAACTTGTTAATATCAGTCTGTACTTGTTAATATCAGTCTGTACTTGTTAATATAAGTCTGTACTTGTTAATATCAGTCTGTACTTGTTAATATCAGTTTGTACTTGTTAATATCAGTCTGAACTTGTTAATATCAGTCTGTACTTGTTAATATAAGTCTGTACTTGTTAATATCAGTCTGTACTTGTTAATATCAGTTTGTACTTGTTAATATCAATCTGAACTTGTTAATATCAGTCTGTACTTGTTAATATCAATCTGAACTTGTTAATATCAGTCTGTACTTGTTAATATCAGTCTGTACTTGTTAATATCAGTCTGTACTTGTTAATATCATTCTGTACTTGTTAATGATATGGAAAAAGACACTTATGGAGAGTGTGTCTTCAGTCTGCAGAAGTCACTCGTGACGGGACGTTACCTGAAATACATGTCCTGAGCTGTCCATAAGTGTCTTTCTCTAGAGCCTACTGATATATATACACTTTTTATTCAGTAAAAATGGTGTGGTACAGAGATGTGGAACATTCACAGCCTCGAGGTGGAACATTCACAGCCTCGAGGTGGAACATTCACAGCCTCGAGGTGGAACATTAACAGCCTCGAGGTGGAACATTCACAGCCTCGAGGTGGAACATTCACAGCCTCGAGGTGGAACATTCACAGCCTCGAGGTGGAACATTCACAGCCTCGAGGTGGAACATTAACAGCCTCGAGGTGGAACATTCACAGCCTCGAGGTGGAACATTCACTGCCTCGAGGTGGAACATTCACAGCCTCGAGGTGGAACATTCACAGCCTCGAGGTGGAACATTCACAGCCTCGAGGTGGAACATTAACAGCCTCGAGGTGGAACATTCACAGCCTCGAGGTGGAACATTCACAGCCTCGAGGTGGAACATTCACAGCCTCGAGGTGGAACATTTACTGCCTCGAGGTGGAACATTCACAGCCTCGAGGTGGAACATTCACAGCCTCGAGGTGGAACATTCACAGCCTCGAGGTGGAACATTCACAGCCTCGAGGTGGAACATTCACAGCCTCGAGGTGGAACATTCACAGCCTCGAGGTGGAACATTCACAGCCTCGAGGTGGAACATTCACAGCCTCGAGGTGGAACATTCACAGCCTCGAGGTGGAACATTCACAGCCTCGAGGTGGAACATTCACAGCCTCGAGGTGGAACATTCACAGCCTCGAGGTGGAACATTCATAGCCTCGAGGTGGAACATTCACAGCCTCGAGGTGGAACATTCACAGCCTCGAGGTGGAACATTCACAGCCTCAAGTAGAAATATCGGCATTTTTTTCATCAAAGACTTGATTTGCTTCTCCGAGGTTGTCATGGCCGCTCACACCTCCACCCCCACAAGGACCCTGTCTCCACAGTGTACTTGTGTAATCAAAACTCACGAACAAGCGATCCTCGGAACGGTTGGGGCTTCAACTCGTAGCTTTTGAGTTTTTAGAAATCCCTTGCCACTGGTTCAAACCCTTACCTGTTCCGTGATTCGTATGTGTTATGTTTTATTTAAAAATAACAATATTTAACCCACAGTCGGTGTTGACCGTCCTGTGTTTGTCAGTGTTCATCCCCATGTTGCTTTGCAACGAAATTTCTTTCTCTGCAATTCAACATTCTGTATACCGTTTTCGCAACTGTATATTGCTTTGTCTATTTCCTGTTATAGGTTTCGCTCGCCGGGAATGAGGAACGAAACGTGTTCTAAGGAAAATTTCCTAACTTCGTAGAGATCTCTTTTACTACACTGCCATCTAGTGGCCATTAAATCATAATTACTGACTGTGCTGCAGATGCCGGCGTTTAGAACAGACATAAAACAAACCAGGTTACGAATGAGGTTAGAACCCATGGCGAGTAAGTCGTAAAACTCTAGGCCAGTGCTTTAACCACTGGGCCAGCTGGTTACTATAAGATTTATCCAACTAGATATATTTATGCTCCGTAGGGAGGTTAGCACAGCCTCTTATATAAATCTGAAGTGATTTTAGCTCGTTACATAACTATCTTGGTGACTAGAGGTCATTATAGACTATATTAAGCTTAATGGTGGGGCCCATGCTAACCTCCCTACTGTGTAGAAATATATCTAGTTGGGTGAATCGTATTGTAGCCAGCTGGCCCAGTGGCTAGTGCACTGGCCTGGAATTTTACGACTTACTCGCCATGGATTCAAATCCCACCCTAACTGTGATTTGTTTGTAGTCGTGTTATTACCATTTCGTCGGTCATGATGAAATAAAGACGGGCAGGATTCGAACCCATGGAAAGCCAGTCTTAAAACCAGCAGGCCTCTGTTCTAACCAGGTAAACCACGCTGGCTTAAACAAGGTGCAAGGAAGACCTCTGTGTATAATATACAATAAATATACGCTGTACAAATAGGCATCCCTCACAAACATTGATCCAACTATGCAACAATAAGCACTACAGTAGGCCTACTGGCCTATGATAGTCAGGTACCTGAGAAGAAGAGAAAGAGAGGGAAGAGAGGCTTGGGTGAGAGGCAGAGAAGAAGCGAACAAGAGGATGAGGGGAAGTAAAGAGGCGGGGTAAGAGGAAGGAACAAGAGAGATAAAGGGTAATGACAGTGAAGGGAACAGTGGGGAGAGAATAGGATAAACTGAGAGGAAAAGGAAATAAGAAGGGAAGGAAAGGGGGAAAAAGGGAGAGTTAAGGAGGTGGAAGGGGTCAGAGAATGCGAGGGCGAGGGGAGAGAGAGGGAGAAAAACTGGAGGGGAGAGTGAAGGAAGAACGTTATCTCTGAGGGGAATGCTGTATTATCTCTGAGGGGAACACTGTAATTGAGTGTTTGGCTTAACGAGGGTAAACAGGATGTAATTGCGCTGATTTTTAGGATCATGAATGTTTAACTATTTAACAAGGGAGAGAGAGAGAGAGAGAGAGAGAGAGAGAGAGAGAGAGAGAGAGAGAGAGAGAGAGAGAGAAATTGTTGGATGGTTAATTAAGTATCCTGCCTGACAGGTAGACCAATTAACATACCTGCACATCGAGGCGAGAGCTTCATTTTGTTTGTCAACACCTGAGGTCTTGACCGTCTTTGACGGGTCTTCTTGGGTCCTCTCTCCCCTCACCCTCCTCCTCCTCTCCCCTCCCTCCATCTGTTCTTACATGTGAACGTGTTTATTTGTCCGACATGTAAGCAAGCCTCAGCAAGCTTACATCTAACAACGACATCGCTTTTATTTGTATCCTCCCTCCCCATTTTTTTTCTCTTGTTTACGGAGGAGATTTCAATTGTTCTTGTGGTTTGAGGACTTTTTTCTGTGCTCTGTTTGCGACATCAGAAGTAAATAGTGAGACATTCCTCAGCTGATGCCACAGTTTGCTCTAAGTTAAACTCCCACGTCTGCTGTGCCAGACCTTGTGCAACTAGACGACT